AGGGGAAACAGTATTCATACCACGAATACTTAATACCATCGGTATACCCCTTCAAGTTTTGTTTTATAGAATAGGATGACAAACGAGCACACAGTCCACCTGATGTTGTCCACGTATGATGCTGTGGCCCATAGACATAGAAAAATTATATTGGAATATGAGTAGTAATGCTTTGTGGTATACCTTGGGGAAGGCCTATGTTCAGCAGTGCACTTGTGAAGGGCTGTAATGATGATGACCTCGTTTCCAGTAAAAATGGTATCCGGTTCTCTACACTCACCATACGAAACACAACAGCACTGAACTGCTGCATTTCGTTTGGTGCTGTGCTATTTTACGCTGGTATTCCGTGAGAGCGTGGTACCGCCCCGGTCGAGCCGACCCATTCGTGCTACAACTATAATGTACTTGAATAAGGCGGGCCTATAGGATGTCGATTCACTTGAATCGATTTGAATCGAAGATACTAGAATCGATTATCGATTAAATCGAGGATTAGAAGATCGATTTTCGATTAATCGCGACATTTTAAAACGTGAAATTTCAAGAATTTGCGATTTTTTTCATTAATTGAACTTTAATATTTTTTTAAATAATATATTAGTATTGAATAAAACTATTATTTACGAATTTTATCGCGTTTGATTACTTTAATTTATTTTTATTATTATCCCGACGTTTCGGGTGCTTTACAGCGCCCATGGTCACGGGGGGGACTGAGATGTTTGACGTCCCAATGTCATAGTTAGTCCGGCTACCTTCAGTTTTTTAATATTAATTTTTGGTCCGATTTACGCAAAACGAGCTTATAGTATCATGAAGTCTTGCAGTGGTATGCTTGGGTTTGGGTTTAATTTTGTTGATTATAGGATCCCAAGCAGATGGTAGCACCCAACCATCTTCTCTATTGAAATTTGGATGTTTTTTTAATTTCAATAGCCTCGCGTATCATCCTTGGTAGGAATCGGTGTTCTTTTGCGAGAATTTGTGGTTTATCAAATCTAATGTAATGGTGGGGACGATCTTGAACATGTTCGCAGACTGCAGACTTCCAATATTAGTACCTAATCTTATTAATCAACATTACTAATATTCCTTTTAACTACTTCTCGTAATCTAGAAACGCTTGTGTTAGGAGTGGTTCGCACATATGCCACTCAATCCCTTTTTTTACAAAGTGATTCCATGTATCACTTTTATTTGATATTTTAGGCTAAAAACAACAACAATACTTTAACAAAAGTGCAAACTACAACGTAAATTTCTCAATAAAGCTGTTTCAATCTAATAACTCACTATTTATCAAATTGAAATGAATGCTACACGAACACAATACTGGTCCTTACTGTCTGCACTTACAGCTCACAGTATGTATGTTTTTGATAATAAATAAAGTAAATTCACAAGTTCACAGTTCAAACAAGTTCACAGTTCAAACAAGTTCACAGCTATAATTTTATACTGTAGTATGTATACGTAGCCTTTGTTCACAGCACAGATTAAGTTAGACCAACATTCCACAGGCAAGATTAGAATTAGAATTTAAGAAATGAAAATGAAATGACAACTTTTCGATATTGTTGGATGCGTTCATAAATATTTATTTTATTCAAATAAATATTGTGTTCAAATTATCAACTAAGTACGACCGGTTGTTTTCGCGTCCCCAACAGCAAAAAATTAAAAAACTGCGGTATCTTACCTCAGCCAGTTTGGGAATTTTATCGCTAGTTCTTGAATCGGATGAATCAGTCCGATTCGAGAGGTTTTTGGATCGATTCAATGAATCGATGCGGTGCTCGATTATTTTACTCCAAAGAATCGATTTTTCGATTAATCGATTTTAGATCGACATGCCTACTGGCTCTAGCACTGAGAAGACTTGTTTAAGGGTTTTTTTTTCAAATGTTTAATTTAAGTTATGCAACTTCAAATGTATGTTATTTTTGGCAGAAGTTTTAGTTTTACAAACGTAAATATAAAGGCAAGTACCTACTGTGGTACATAGGTGTGAATAGCGCTACCTGTAAATTTCACCTAAAACATTACGCCATTGTAAACAATAAAATTGTAAATTGTTATTCATAATGTTACAAATACTGGACAAATATAATATTTAGTAAAATAATCACAAATTCACACATTTAAATATATTATTTACGAGTACAAACTACATATACAGCTGGAACCATTGATATACTATATACAACTCAGTACATTATACTTCAATGGCTGAAACAATATAAATTATTTACGGGTAAATTTGAAACTTACACTATCACATAATTACGTACTTCGTTTTTTACTACTAATGTTATAAACTTGCAGCAAATATAAATATTCACAGCAACATGCCATGTTCTGCGCCACATTTAACGTCCCGTCCATTAACTGAACACAAAACTAATATTTTATGTTTATTTTATTCGTAAATCGCAGAATTAGTTTATTAATAGATACTAAAAGCGAATCAATTTTTTTTCGTATATTTTTTTTTTATTGAGAGTATGTCAAATACACTATTGTTACCAAAGAAATATTTCTTTTAGTGTTATTTAAGATGTAACTTCTGAATTCAAAGAAAGGCGGAACACTGCGTATCTACATTTCAAGTGACGTAAAATTATAAATCAATGAAGAACACGCCCTTAAATACACATAATCATTTTTAGCCATCAACGTGGTTTTAGGAGCATATGAGTGCGCGTTGATATAGCAAGAAAGAAAGAAGATAGATGTGTGCGTGAGTGCGTGCAAAGAAATTGAGCATGTTTTCGGCATAACTTGACAATGTGCGCAGTGCTCAGTCTATATTTCTTTGTTGGTCTGAGTCGCTGAACATCTGAAAAGAAATATTTCTCGCCTAAATATATTTGATAGAGAAGGGCAAAGACAGCTCATGGTATTCATTACATAGATGAGAATATTACAATTCAAAATGGAAGGGATAAAAAATACAAAATGTATACTTAACTTTTTAGCAAATGTAACACAAGCACCAAAAATTTTTTCTTGCAATATTTTCAATTATTTTTGTCTTAAAAATATTACGTCACTATTCTATTCACAATAGAACAAAAATATAAAAATTATTGTCATTTTCTGGTTTAGCAATCCACTAAACCAAAGAAGTGAAGGAAAATCATATACCAACCTATTCAACGGAGCTATACGAGTATTTTCTATATTGGTACTCAGGTATAAAAATTATAGACCTATGTAGAATAATTTCTTGGGATAGTTTTCCTTTAATTTTGAAGTCCACATCGCGACAATATGAAATCAGCAACTGCCAGTGTAACAAAAAAAAGATGCTTTTGTTGCTAATCTTTATGTACGATTATTGTTTGAATAAAATTTTCTACGTATCTAAATTAATATTTTTTAAATTAATTAATGTTAATTTATTTTTAAAAATACAAATTTTATTATGTTATTCTCTACATAACATATAGATTTATTTAGAATGATTAATAATTAATAATTCGAGAAAAAAAAAATGGAGTGGAATAGTCTGCGAAATAGGTAATTTCAAGGAGCCAAAAATTCATACAAAATTTGAAACATTAGGTCACGTAATATACGCCTATTCATGACCGTAGCTTTATTTTATTAAGTAATTAATTTACTATCGTTGTAGCTTCATAATGTTGTGGATCTATTAATTTAACTATTTAAATAAGAAAATGTATGCTATAGTCGTACACGTGTATGTATTTCGAAAATATATCTAATTTTCAATTAAAATTTATTGATCCAGTTTTACAGACTAAATATGGCACGGAATTATCCTATGATTGTACTCATCGACTTTCTTGCCTTACCTATTTCTTACTACTTAGCTATTTACGTATTGCAATATGGCAGTTCCTTCTAATCTAGCTGTCTACACATTCTAGGGTAAAACTACATTAATATTAGAAATCAATGGATGTTTCACTAACCATTTGAGCAGATTGCTCTTAATTATACAAGTAATGTATCACGAAGTTTCCTAATTACGCGAATAATTACTTTTATATAAGTACTTACCTACTAATTTAAAATTAAAAGATTTTTCATAATTGTTATAAAACATCAGTATATTATTTCGAATATTTTTATTATATGAAATAGTTGTATTACTGGATCTTTGCATTATGATTGAAAAATACAAAAACAATCTTAACAAGGAAGCCCGCGATATTATAACGTCTAATATAATAAAACTAAAAGAAAATAACAAACAGGTTTAAAGATCATATTAAGTATTTACAAAAAATACTTAAATGCATGTATTAAAATACGAGTAAAATTTATTACTTCAAAGAATTGCATATCTACGTTCCGATTCAGAAATAAACGCGCGACACTGATTTAAAATTTAAACACTCAATTGCCCACATAACTTTTACAAAGTAGAAACGAGGTTACCTCACAACCGAACCGACAAAATCTCGAGTAATTAAGGGGCTCGCGTACGTTCCACAATTAGGTTACGTCTTTTTGCCTAAATTTTATCAGAGCTGAGAGTTGCAATAGAGTACTTTAATTTGCACTTTTACAAATCTAACGTAAAACTTTCGAATCTGAAGTAAAAATTTCAATAAGCCAAGCCTTTTTTTCGTAATTCCCAAATTCATACAGAAATTGAATTTTTATCATTCGAATTTTTTGATTTACAAAAATAAAAATGATGGCTTTCAAATTGTAGAGTGAAAGATTTTGGAATAATTCACACTACATTTTCCCACTGCGCTTTTACGGCCTATTAAATAACAATAACACCTTTGCCTATTTCATTAAAAAAACCATTATAATCGGTTTACAAGCGCCGAAGATATTGCGCAAAATACATACAAAAAATAACACATTGCCTCCTCCTCCTACTTTGATGTAGGCTAAATATAAGAGCTTCGTTGTTAAACTTATAATAAAAAGTGTTTCGCACACTGCAACTATATAGATACGCACATCCACAGACTCGGTCATGGAGGGTTTTATTTCGTGACGCAGTGCTCTCAACTGGTGGCCATACCACTGTAATAACCTTGCGTGTAGTAAAGTCCCTGCCCGCTATATTGCTCCTGCAATACCATGTGACCGTGCATGGTATCGTGGACTTCACTCAATAGTTGGCTGTACGGTATTTGAACGTTCGTTTGATCGTCCGACGTATTAGGATCAGCGTGAGGCGGTAAAGAATGGTAGGAGAAGGGTTCTTGATCCTGATGTTGGTGTTGATGATCTATTTCTATATTTTTTTCCATTTTTGATTGGTGCACCGGTTGACCCTGAAATCGATATTTTTAATATGATTAGTTTATTATCTTTTTTATGAGAAATATTTATTGGCGCCCCTTGGCAGTAAAACCGACTCCTAATCAATGACGGCAAACGGCATTAGCGTGACCATAGATTACTGTACATAATCGAATAGAATTTTATTAATGAAAACCAGTAAAGAAATTTGGAAAAAATATATGATGGTGAACGCGTCATGCATAACAGTATGCATGACGCGTTCACCATCATATTTTTTTCCATATTTCTTTATTGTATAAATGCTACCATCAACATGTTACACAATCTGCGGGACGTCCTGTGATGGCCAAATTTTTTCAATTCATTAGAGTCCATTGCATAGACATGGGCAAATCCTATAGTAAGGTGGATTTTCCAAATCACGACGTTTGGCTGGCGGTTTGCCTTGATCACAGTTCTTGCTAGATATTGCCGTCCATAGTCTGGTATAATAATCAACAATTTTTTTACCTGGTATTCAAAATACGGTATACGAGACGGTTATACCGCCATCTATTAGAAGCCACAAGAAGTTTTGAGCATTAATAAACTAAGTCGCTTCCTAACATGGTCACGGAATTAAAGAGGGTGATGGATTCTCCAAAATCTATGGAATACACTTGGTTTTAGATCTCATGTTCAATTTGACGACCATTATACTTATCGTATAGTGTATCATAGTTTAACTCCGATCTTAACTTAGGAAGAAGTAAAAGACTAAAGCGTTCGCTAGTAGTGCTTCAAGGTTTGTGTGCACTTATGGCACAAAAGTTAAAGTGAAAACATTTCTATTCAAACTTGGTTTTTACTTAGCACTTTTTAAAAGTCAAGGAAGCTACGCCATCGCTATATATATAGAGATACTGTGGTAGACCTTGTATACTTGCCACAAGTAGGTTGTTTATCTTGCAAAAGTTACAATACCGTTTTTTTACACCTATTTAAAAAGTCTAAGGAAGCTCATTGTGTCCACGCATTCCTATTTTATAAATAATCATCTAATATAACTTATTCTTTTCTTTTTTATTACAAAAAAATTTCAGTTCCTCGGATTTATTAGACGCAACACAAAAGGATTTACCAGCAAGACTAAAATTATTTTGTACAAAGTGTTTGCGAGAAGTTACCTCGAGTATGTCAGTATCATTTGGAATCCTTCCTATCACATCGATTCCCAACGCATTGAAAGCGTACACCTAGCTTTTACAAGGTACCTTGCATTCCATGAAACTGGTATCTTACAAACACAACCCTGTAATCAAAGATTGGTTGAATTTAAATCGTCAACCGGCCACCTTTACAACGGTGGCGGAATAAAAAGTTGCATGCCCTGTAGCATCACATCAGCGACAGAATTAGCAACAACGCTGGGATTACCCGGCGAGAAGCAAACCCGTCTCTAAGGGTGGGATGCAAAAAAAAGATCGCATCCTGTACCAATCGGCTGACCTATAATGCCAAACACGGCGGCAACCTGCAGTACGCAACCGCCATGGTAGCGTGAGTGGCACCGTACTCAGGATCAGACAATGGTCCGAGGAGCCAAGAGGGGCATCAACGGAGACCTGATATCCATCCGGATGAGAGGTCAGCAGAAGGTCCAATAGGGAAGGTACATGATCTTCCACATCTGGGATCTGCGTGGGCGAGGTAACCAGTTGTGTCAGACCATATGCCAAAGCAAAGTCATAAACAGATCTACCCGCATGATCAGTTAAACGAAAACCAAGCCATTCAGCATGGTGGGCGTTAAAATGACCAAGTATCACGATCTCTGCGGATGGGACCTGGTGTAGCACGGAGTCTGCAGCCATCTGGATGTGGTCGATCAGTCGGTCTGTGTCTGCATTACCGCTATGGGACCTATATGGGACCTATATAGGTAGCCATAAGATGGATATATACCTGGGATACAGATGTTCTAATCTGCACCCCGGGTATGAGAGATATGAAGTGTCAGCCGGAGAGGACACCTGTGTCTCGGTTAGAAAGAGCAGGGCCAGCTCCGCCGTTTCCAGATGGTAGTGGACGGCGTTAAGGTTTGAATGAAGTCCCCTGATGTTGTAGAAATCAACGGATAGCGTGGCAGGAGGCGCCTTTGACTTATTGCTCCGTTGGATCGATCAGGTTTAGTCTCGAGCGGAATTTAGCCCCCCCCCCCCCAGAATAAGAGGGGCAGCCTGAGCACCCACGCTCAGGAAGAGTAGGGGTAAAGTTTGGGCGTGGATGCTCAACGGGGGATTCTCCGTCACCGGGGGTGCTGGTACCCTCCTGAGTAGTATTATATTTAACTCCGCTACCATGTTAAGGGTGAGGGGGAGGAATTGGGCCTCTGCTAGCTGCACTCACCAGACGAAATGCAGAAGCATGTATTTGGTGGCACATGTTATGTACACTTGTTAATGATAAAAATATCAATGAGCGTGTTACTTTTCTTTTAATTTCTTATGAAGTAAATAAATAAATCAATGAGGGACGCCTATGTTCAGCAGTGGACTTTAAAAAAATGTAACGCTAACAGTAACGATAGGTACAAAAACTGAACTAGACAAACCTGCAGCTGATATTTACACCGCTTAAATCTGCCGTACAGTGAGGAGTACGGCAAGTTGTAATGTATCGCCGCCTGGTTAATAGACATTTGGCCCACCCTGAAAATGTAGAAAATCGAAATTTAACGATTATTTCATAATTATGACCTAACTCTCCTTTCTCCTTTCTCACCCAATCTTCTAACTGAAAAAATTTCCATAATAACCAAAATTAGATTGACCTCCTAGCTGTTTTGACTGAAGGATCTAGTCACTGCTATAAGTTTTTTTTTTCAAACCGATTTACACGTTAATTGTGACTACTGCAACCAAAGACAAGAGAGACAAAAATAAAAAGGAAAGAGATTCGTCACCTTTGAGGGCTATGAAAGAATGCTTCACAACCTGCAATTATACTGACTCTCTATCCACAGAGCGGGACACAGTAGTGTGTGTGCACTACAGTATTGTACTGCTTTGCAGCAGAAATAGGAAAAAGGATGGTAACTACCCATATGACTCCTAGGCACATAAACAGTCCTACCACCTAGAAGCTATAATACCATTAAGTAATCTTGTCTTGGCACATTAATTGATGACGAAAGCTTGCGCCAATCGGGTTTAAAAGGGGGTGCATTAGTCCCCACCGGTGTCCTTATTTATTTATTATATGGACAACAAAACACATGGCGATCAAAATATATATGTATATATATATATATATATATATATATATAATTTTTAATGTACAACATCTAACAGTTTTGTGCCAGATTGTTTTCCTAAGTATGTTGATACATCATCTTCATATTTTACTACAGGAGAGATCAAATCTACGCTTAACAATATTAATGACGTACATTACTACATAATACATAAAACAAATTTTACGAACGTGATATGGGAATGAGTTTTACTGCTCTTTTAAATATCCTTGATCATGTTAGGTCAAAAATATCCAAGTCGGAGTCTTTCATAGATATCTCGTTGTAAACGGTGTCAACCTGCCTACCCACGGCGAAAACCTCGCACAAGTAGTTTTTGTATTCCAACAAATTAGTCAATGTTGATCACGAAACCGTGCTGCTTGCTAGATATAAACAGCTTAATTTGAGAGTAAAAATGATCATACAACGCAGATTCAAATACCTTAGCAACACAGCACGAAATGCTAATAGGTCTATAATTTTTGCAATTAGACTTATTTCCGAACTTGTGAATGGATACGATAAGAGCCGTATTCTAAATGTAAGGGAAAGCACTTTAAGGACTTATTACACAATAATGTTAGAGGTCCACACAGTTCCCTTGCACAATTTGAGAAAAATATAGCGGGAATACCATCATATCGTGGACCTTTGCGAGCATCTAATTTCTTTAATTTGTCATCATAATTGTTAATATTGTATCCTGACTTAGTTCTATATTACACATACTGTAATTACAATAACTATCACAATTTACAACATCATCAAAATCCTGGTTAATGACAGGTGGACAAACTTCGAAAGCTGAACTGAAGTACCGAGATTAAAGTTCACATATTCCTTGTGTGTCAGAAGAAGATTCTGTATCAAGAGTCAAAGTCTGTGGCATACCTGAGCTACCTGTTTTATTGCTAACAAAGTTCCAAAATATCTTTATCGGATAGACCTTCTTCCATGGCGGTAATAAACGATGCGTACACCGATTTCGTGAGTTTTTTACATCTCGTGCGTAGCAATGCTTAAGTGTCGTAATCTCTAGGAATATGATATTTTTAAAAACCACGGCGATATTTTTTTGGTTCCATGGTGGATAGTTGTTATTTTAATAATAATAATAATAAATATATCGACTTGGCCCATGAGATTGTCGCTATGTGGAACGTTGATTCTACTATTATTGTACCAGTAGTTGTATGAGTCAATGGACTTATTGGTAAAAATGTGGACGATTATCTGTCCAAGTTAGGTTTGGGCAAATGGCTGAAAGCATTAATTCAAAAAATCGGCCTTATTAAATACGGCTCGAATAATAAGAAGTTTCCTATCTTTGGATGCCTAAATTCACCGATGGCTTAGAATTCCTCGCCGCGGTGGATAATAGCCGAAATAATAATATTATTTATATAGATTGTATTTATATATGTAATATTATAGTTTTGTGATAATATATGTGATCATATTATAATAATAATAATAATAAAATCTTTATTCTCAGAAAAACGTGTAACAAAATTTTCCATATTAATTACGATTACAGGCATCAATATACTAGTAACATACTAGTAGGATATGGTTGATCGTTAGCGGCTGTACTAGTTTTATATTGAAAACTGTATTACAGACGCTAGCGCCTTCCACCGGACATTATAGGAAACAATTAGAGCAATGCCCTGTTTAGTACTACATAATATTGAATCCGCTACATATGGAGACAATATTTAAGAACAAGTATAAAAGGGTATAAAGGTATAAAAGAGAGGGATAGAATTGCGAGTGTACACGTAACAGTTTGTAAATGTGTGTGTGTGTGTGTGTGTGTGCGTGCGTGCGTGCGTGCGTGCGTGCGTGCGTGCGTGCGTGCGTGCGTGCGTGCGTGCGTGCGTGCGTGCGTGCGTGCGTGCGTGCGTGCGTGCGTGCGTGCGTGCGTGCGTGCGTGCGTGCGTGCGTGCGTGCTTGCTTGCGTGCGTGCGTGCGTGCGTGCGTGCGTGTGTGTGTGTGTGTGTGTGTGTATTAATGTGTGCATAATAAACTCTGCCCTATTTTAAACATCTAGGGATTGGTTGTGTCAAAGACAGCAGTCCTCACTAATTGTGCGATAAATCTTACGACTTAATCATGAGATGTAGTTTGGTTAGCTTTATAGGGGGATCGCAAAAGCGCCTCTGTATCCTCGTATGAAAGTCTCTGCAGCCACTGCTTCAGTTCCTGTTTACACTTTCTTGCAGTAGTTTTATGGATATTTAGTTCTTTATTAATCTTATTGTAAACATGACTACTTCGGACATAGTATTGTCTGCAAGCTAAAGCGGTTCTGTGGGGGAGGTGTTCACATACCCGGTATTCCAGTCTTCGACTTACTTTTTGTGCGCGGTGCTCCAGTGGGAGCGAGCGATGTCTACGAAGTACCATTTGAAGTATGTAGAGTTGCCTGGCTGTGAGCACGTCACAGTCTTTATATAGTTGGGTAGTAGGGTAACGGTAATGCTTTTTAGTCATGACCTTTAACACAGCTCTCTGTGCACGCTCCAATTTTATAAAATGAGTGGGGCACGCTCCACCCCAGGAAGGGATGCAATAACTCAGAATAGACTGGGCCAGTGCAAAATAAACCAGTTTCAAGGTTTTTGGGTCCGCCGCATTCCTCAATTTTTTTAAAACTGGAATAATTTTTCGAACCCGGGATGCTATGTTATCTATTTGATGCTATGTCCAGGTAAGGGTACTGTCGAGTATAATTCCCAGATATTTTATGTTATCCGTCTGTTATATTGCCATGCATCCACAGTTTGCATTTGTCGAGTCACAGTGGTGAATTTTGATGTAGGAGGGATCAGGTTTAGGTTGTGTTGACTTTGATGCAGAAAAGGTAAATTACTTGGTCTTGTCAATATTTAAGGTCAGCAGATTGTCACAGAGCCAGTTTGATACAACACGCAGGGCCTCTTCCATTCTGCATCGAGCACTCTCCCAGGTTTTGTCGTGTGCCAAGAGAACAGTGTCATCTGCGTACGTGATGATGCGGTAATTCGGAATAGTCAAGTGACAGAGACTGCACACTGCCTTGAGGTACTCCATAGGAAAGATATTTATCATCACTAAGAAGAGAATCTATTTTGACACATTGTCTGCGTTCTGAGAGATAATCTCGAAAGATGTCCAAAGCCAAACCCCTTATGCCAATTTCATTCAGTTTTTGAAGTAGGATGGGGATAGAAACAGTGTCAAAGGCCTTTGACAGGTCAAGGAAGGTTCCTATTATTTTGAATTTATTGTCTATGTTTTTAGCTACTAAGTTGACTAGATCCATAACAGCGTCTTCTGTGGATAAGCCACTTCTAAAGCCGTATTGATTTTTTGATATGATTTTGTATTTGTTCAAGTAATTAAAAAAATGTTATTGTTTTTTCTTACAAGCGGTGTATGTTTCGCAATCCACTTCTTCAAGAGAGTGTGAAACTTATCGTTTATATCGGGTTCCTTCAATAAGTTAAATCACTCAACAGTTGCTAGATCCTCTTTTAAATCAGGATAATTACATTTGAGGTAGTTATATTATTTGTTGCGCACGTTTCATTTTTTTAATTTGAAATTTTACATTAATACAATTTTCAGTGCGGTGTGATGTGAATCTATTCGAGTAAAAAGCTCAGTAGATGCATCACTTTCTCAGTTGTTGACAAGACGAGATCAGGAAGACGGCTATTCACATTATAAACTGAATTAATTTGAACTAGGTTACAATGATTCATAATATCAACAAGACAGTTAGATTTAAAGTCGGATGAAATACCAGGTGACATAATGTTACTATAAGTACTAGGGGACCAACTCAGATGTGAGGTAAACGCCAATAAGTAAGAATGCGTCCTCATCCTTAACACGAGATAAGTTTCAATGAACATTGTCGTAAAAGGCTTGCAAGTGGTAGCGAGAAATATCGGGAGGGAGATAAGATAAACATAAGTGGAGCTTTCGACAAACCAAGTGGAGCAAACCGGTAATCAATAGACAAGAAAGGTTTTTGGATGCAGCCCAATCATGCAGAGGAAGCACACGCTATACAGTCCGTAAAATTTAGTTTAATTAAAATAGGTATTATAATGTAATTAGCAAGGTACATATATAGAATCTGAAGTTAAATAAGAACTGACCTTACTGCTTCTAGCGCTTCACCCATAGCGTCTTCCGACCAGGGCGTAGGGTTGGATCGAGATAGCTCGATACCTTCTCGTTTGCATCTTCCATATAGAGTACCTATAAATTTATCACAGAACAATTGAAATGATCCTATATGATCAGGAGCTACACAAACACTTGCGCACAATATATCAAACACATTCTTCGACAACGTTGGCTTTTCAATGTCACGCTACACTTTATTACAGTCACATAAACCACACAAACACACAAACACGCACGCACGCACGCATGCACGCACAAACGCATGCGTGCTAGAACACTCGCCCACACTAATGCACACACGCACGTACTCATGCATAAACGTGGAAGGAGAGGGAGAAATAAAGGCACGTAATTCCTGCGCACACTCTATGAAATACATCTTATAGAATACCGAGAAGCTGGCTACTCTGCGATGCTATATTGACAAAATTAGTTTCAACCAAATTAAAGTCACAATAAGTCTCTTACCATGTCTCTCCAACAAGTTCAATGCTATGTGACAGTAATAAGTTAAGAAGCTACCCCGGCGTGAAGTACTAAAGACCCAACTGAAGACGATCAGTGTACTCCAATGATACATCCCGAAAAGAGGGAGCCACGGTGAGCGGGCTCCTTTTAGTGATAAAGAGACGCGCTTATATTTTGGAAGCGATTAATCTTACGAGATTCGCACGTTCCACCATAGCTTCTCTTTCGGACTCTATCTGATCCCGACTGGACCAAGCATCCGGCTAGTACCTCTCCACAGCTGTGCCGTCGTGTGCATACCAATCAATCAGTCGATCAATCTCTTTATTCATTAACAATAAATTAGTACGAATATTACAGTCCTTATTAACTTACTTAAACAAAATAAATAAATTTTACAAGCAAACAAAAGATAAAATAATTGTCCAAAGATGTTATAAAAAATCTTTGTAAATGACATTGTACCTTTCGAATCTATATAATTATTCTAACTACTTAATAATTAAAATTCATCTCAATTTAATCACAAATGTTTTGAATTACAATTATTAACATTAAATAATAAATAAAAAGCAATCAAAAAGCAACTAGCAAATGTTAACTTATTCCATAATTGAAAAAATAAAATAAATGTTCAAATATAAAATCAATTAAAAATACATGAAATAATAAATTTCTTAGTAACTATTATTTAATTAAATATTACTCTACAGCTTAAAATTTGTCAATATTATAAATACATTTATCTATAAGTAGAGCCTTTAACTGTGTTTTAAAAGCACTTAACTTTTTTATTTCTTTTAGTTTTTTAGGCATTTGGCAAAAAGTAAGACCTGGTAACGAAGACAGTGCTTCACAATCTCCAGTTTAGTAATAGGCAAAGTAATTGTCCCTCCATCTGGTGCTTTCTCTCTCTTTCATTTCTTCGTCAGATTCATAAAAATGTCTGTTTTTAAAAACATAGGTGAGAAGTATCAAAATATATAGGCTGGGTACATTTGGCTTTTTGAAATATTCTTTACACGATTCCGGAATGTACACCATTGCTCTTATAGCGCTTTTCTGTGCAGATAAGGAAAATAAAGTGGATGAATCTGAAGATACGAGGGTGCAGAATATAACTGTGAATAGACTAAATGAGAGCATTATTTCTAATATTTTATCCCGCGTTTCTGCTAAAGAAATTTGGGATATACTTACTTAGAAGGATTGAGTCAAGATTATGGTTTTTGTCAAGTTTACAAAGCACACTTTTCATTTTCCTTGACATTTTTATAATTTAGTTAAACCATTTTAGCTTTCCAGTTTTTTTTAAATTTACTTTAATTAATTTTTTATAACATTTTATGAATATACTTATAAATTTAGCCAAAAAAACTATTGATACATAACCAGAAGTCGAACCAATTTAGTTAAATAATACAATTTCTGAAAATGCCGTTATTTTTTTATTAACCTCAATTTTTATTGCTCTTCCTTTCCAGTCCTCTATATTTGTCGATTTCACTAATAAATGCTCTATTATTATACCAGCATGACCATCTGATAGACAATTAGATACCCTTAGATACCGGGATAAGCAGATCATTAATATGTATACACGCACGCACGCACGCACGCACGCTCCCACGCAAGCATTTACGCATACACTCACGCTCGCATGCACGCACGCTCCCACGCAAGCATTTACGCATACACGCACGCTCGCATGCACGCACGCAAGCACGTACGCACGGACGCACGCCAGCACCCACGCACCTACGCACAATGCACCCACACATACACACACACACACACACACACACACACACACACACGCGCGCGCACGCACACACACACACACACACACACATAGCACACACACACGCACGCTCGCACACACATACGCACCGGTGGGGATGCCGAACTGTGCGGCGGCACGCTGCACGGATGCAGCGCCACAGCGAATGGCGGCGAGCGCGTGCTGCAGATCGCTGCGGTGCCAGGACGTCGGCGCCGCGTTGAAAGGAGCTGCCAGACGGATGCCCTCGCGCCGCGCTATCTTGTACAGCGTGCTGCTCGGGATACCTGCCGGCGCGATTATAATATTAAGTGCAGTGCGCAGGCGCGCATCGCTCCATTTTTTGTGACCAGGTGAGTGAGTGGGCGGGTGAGCGTGTGAATGAGACAAAGTGAGCGCTGACCGTAAGCCTTGCTGGCCTTGTTGGCGGAGAGCGCGTCGGCGCGCAGTGCGTGCAGTGCAGCGCGCAGGTCCGCGTCGCTCAAGTTCTTGTGACCAGGTGAGTGAGTGAGCGGGTGAGCTTGTGAATGAGACAAAGTGAGCGCTGACCGTAAGCCTTGCTGGCCTTGTTGGCGGCGTACGCGCCGGCGCGCAGTGCGTGCAGTGCAGCGTGCAGGTCCGCGTCGCTCAAGTTCTTGTGACCAGGTGAGTGAGTGAGCGGGTGAGCGTGTGAATGAGACAAAGTGAGCGCTGACCGTAAGCCTTGCTGGCCTTGTTGGCGGCGAGCGCGCCGGCGCGCAGTGCGTGCTGTGCAGCGCGCAGGTCCGCGTCGCTCAAGTTCTTGTGACCAGGTGAGTGAGTGAGCGGGTGAGCGTGTGAATGAGACAAAGTGAGCGCTGACCGTAAGCCTTGCTGGCCTTGTTGGCGGAGAGCGCGCCGGCGCGCAGTGCGTGCTGTGCAGCGCGCAGGTCCGCGTCGCTCAAGTTCTTGTGACCAGGTGAGTGAGTGAGCGAGTGAGCGTGTGAATGAGACAAAGTGAGCGCTGACCGTAAGCCTTGCTGGCCTTGTTGGCGGAGAGCGCGCCGGCGCGCAGTGCGTGCAGTGCGGCGCGCAGGTCTGCGTCGCTCAAGTTCTTGCGACCAGGTGAGTGAGTGAGTGGGTGAGCTTGCGAATGAGACAAAGTGAGCGCTGACCGTAAGCCTCGCTGGCCTTGTTGGCGGCGAGCGCGCCGGCGCGCAGTGCGTGCAGTGCAGCGCGCAGGTCCGCGTCGCTCAAGTTCTTGTGACCAGGTAGAGTGAGTGAGCGGGTGAGCGTGTGAATGAGACAAAGTGAGCGCTGACCGTAAGCCTTGCTGGCCTTGTTGGCGGCGAGCGCGCCGGCGCGCAGTGCGTGCTGTGCAGCGCGCAGGTCCGCGTCGCTCAAGTTCTTGTGACCAGGTGAGTGAGTGAGCGGGTGAGCGTGTGAATGAGACAAAGTGAGCGCTGACCGTAAGCCTTGCTGGCCTTGTTGGCGAAGAGCGCGCCGGTGCGCAGTGCGTGCTGTGCGGCGCGCAGGTCTGCGTCGCTCAAGTTCTTGTGACCAAGGTGAGTGAGTGAGCGGTGGAGCGTGTGAATGAGACAAAGTGAGCGCTGACCGTAAGCCTTGCTGGCCTTGTTGGCGGAGAGCGCGCCGGCGCGCAGTGCGTGCAGTGCAGCGCGCAGGTCCGCGTCGCTCCAGCTCTTGGCGCCGCCGTCCTTCTTCGGCGTGTCGATGCCCAACCGGTGCGCGCGCTGCCATAGCGTTGTGGACGGAATGCCGTATGTCGCCGACGCCTTCAATATATTCAAGTGATTTATACTGCGCTATATGACATCATAATACAGTTCATACTTCATATTTTATTTTTTTTATAGAATAAGGGTAAGAAACAGACACACAGTCCACCTGATGGTAAGTGGATGCTGTGGGCCCTAGACATCTACATTTATCCTTCATACTCATGTTCTTTCTTGCTTGATTAGAATATTGAGAAAGTATAGGTCTATTTAGAATAAATTATTTTTTTCTCTTCATATTTATAAGAGACAGTTTGATTCTTTAATAGATTGAAAAAAAGAATACATAAAAACGCGTTTCGGCCTAGATATCAGAGGTAATCTGCCTACTACATTGCGGACTTATTTAGAGAAAAGTAATAAAATAAGCTTGTTGTTATTAATGATGACTACAAATAAGAATAATGATGAAAGCCTCCTGGGCAATTTTGTGAGCTTTTCTTTTCATATCTCATAATCTGTACCTTTATGAAGCATACCAAGTGTCCTTCTACGGAGCATACCACCACGCGGTGGTAAAATACCACCGATCCCCCTACCTCCCTTACCTCGCTCCCACCACACTCACCTTGGTGAGGCTCATGCGGCGGTCTCGCAGGGCCTGCAGAGCACACTCCATGTCGCGCGGCGCCCAACCTTTGCTGCCGGGGCTGCTGCGCGCCTCCCCCTCCCCCCCTTCCCCACCCACTCCCACTCCGCTGGTTTCACTCGCCTCATCACTCAGCTGTAGTTGTTCTGTTGGAATATTTTTATAGAATTATTGATCAAATACTCAAACGCTACTCAATTTTAAGATATAATTTTATTATAGGTACAACACGAGACTTAATAGCACATTAAAATTGAACTCCGTTTGAGTACTTGGACATAAGGACACAGTTTGCACGTGGTAGAGCCACGCTGCAGCTATATTACAGTTGTAGCACAAATGGGTCGGCTCAATCGGGGCAAGACAACGCTCTCACTGAATACCAGCGTAAAATAGCAGCGTAATGCTGCTGTATTTCGCATGATGAATGTAGAGACCGATTTTGTAAATACAGAGAACCGCAGGCCCTTTTGACTGGAATCGAGGCATTCCATCTTAGTCCTCAGGTGTGACAACGCATTTGCATTTTGATTCTTATTTGAGGATAAATGTGGATGTCTATAGGCCACAGCATCCACTTACCATCAGGTGAACTGTGTGCTCGTTTGTCACCTAAGGCTATAAAAAATAAGGGTGTCAAACGAGCAAACAGTTTTTAGTAACTAATGGTAAGTGAATACTAGTCTGTCTATCTAACTTAATTTATCAAGCTACAGCTGCATTGTCACTGTAGAGGATTAGAACGAAATGCCTCCAGCAAAAAGTTCCTCCGGTTCTCATCAGGCACCAACCGTCATACAGTATTCTATGCTAGTGTAATCTATCCACGGTCGAGCCGAACCGATCGTGTTGCAACCGTAATATAGTTGCAGCGTGGTTGTACCACCTACATTAGTAATCCAATCTACACTTCTAAAATTAAGGAGAGTTTTATGTATTATTCAAGTTTTATATAAGTAATTCGAAGATTGAGCCAAGGTAGCTTAGGAGCTAAGAACTCGACGTATAACGCAAGCAATACGTATTCTATCCCCGCCGACATCAATGAAGTTTTTAATTGAAAATTTAGATGCTGATTTAGCATGCTTGGCGTTGAAAACATCGCAAGAGAACCTACATGTTTAGAGAATTAAAAAAATCCATTTGAATTCCATCAACACGTATTGGGACAGCGCGACTGACACTCCCTTGCCCTTAATCCGTCTTAAAAAATAAGAGGCGGCTTGTCTTTGAGACTGATTAGGAGTTAGTTGGACTAGCTTGTGCTCAGAGGTCGGATGTATAAACACTGTAACTTTTACTTTTAATGCTAGGATGCGGAAATATTAATTGAATAAAAACTGATCACTAAACAAATCCTTAGATAATAGTCTGTAATCTGAGAGGAGTTCATTAAAGAACTTGATAATACAGCCCCTCTGGGTTTAGCTTACAAAAGTGGTACAGCCACGTTACAGTACCGGGGTAGGACCAGGCTCTCACAAAATACCAGCATAAAATAGCAGCTTAATCCTGCTGTGTTTCGTATGGTGAGTGTAGAAAACCGGAAACCCTTTTTACTGCAAACAAGCCACTCCATCTCAGCCCTCAGGTATGACAACGCATCTTTCTTAATTGAGGTTAAGTGTACCTAGATGTCTATGAGCCACAGCATCCATTTACCATCAACTAAACTGTGTGCTCATTTGTCACCCTTATTCTACAAAAAATAGTTAAGTTGAATTTCTACAGTCGTTAACGGTAACAGGAAAACATAACTACAAAAATGAATAAGTCCCTCACCGTGACTCACCGTTGATTTAATTCATTAACAGCGCAGTGCCCATATATTATTATTCTTGAACAGGTCAGTTGGAAAAATTCGAACAACTGATAAAAGCTTGTATCCTAGTTTTGAATGTGTAATTATTCTACTTTAGCTGTCTATCCAATCCATTCTTAAATTGGTCTGTGGAGATATTACTTCAGAAGAAGAAGCTTGTTCCATGCTTCAACCACTATTTGGCTAAGGAAGTGCTTGTGTGAGTTATTATGTGATACGGCTTTAGTTAATTTGAGGTGATGCCCCCTACGACGTGTGTTATTTGAATACTGTAATAACAGTTTGTGAAAATTTTTAAGCTCATAGTGTCCATCTATAGTCTTATAGGTCTCAATCAAGTGCCCTCGTTCTCTGCGATCTCTCAGAGTCGTTAGTCTATGTTTATTCAGCCTTTCCTCATATGGTATGTTTTTCAGTGCTCTAGGAACCTTCGAAAATCTGCGATGAACCTTCTCCAGTATCTCAATATCTTTTTTGAAATAGGGACTCCAGACTTGGAATTCATATTCCAAAATAGGTCTGATGTATGTTTTAAATGTTTTTAGCATCATTTCTGGTGTGAGATGCCCGAAGGCTTTTAAAGAATTGTTTTATTTTATATTCCATTTCATTATGATACCCATACATGACGACTTGAAGACTTTTTTAGTTATCACTGTAATGTGATGTTCCATTTTAGATCATTACCTATATGCACACCAAAACACTTTTGCATTTATTTTATTTATATATTTATTTATTTATCCTTTTTTGTACACCACAATACAGAAACATCAATATAGTTACAACTAATTAAAGTATGTACAATAGGCGGTCTTATCACTGAAAGTGATTTCTTCCAGACAACCTTTGCATAGAGTAATGATGCAAACAAAAGTTACAAATAGAGGGGGCATACAAAATAATAATAAAAAATACAAAAATACATACAAATAAAAGTAAGTGAAAGTTATATATAAAATATCATATAATAGATTAAATGAAAAGAGTAAGAGAAAGGTAAAGTAATTTATCTAATAGCGTTCTAAGTAATACGATTTAACAAGAATTTTGAAAGAGTGAAGAGATTTAACACGACGAATATGGAGGGGTAAGGAGTTCCACAATCGCACAGCGGTTACGGTGAAGGATTTCTTGAAAAAGGAAGAAGAGTGCAAAGGTGTAGAGAGAGAAAGATTGATGGAGGATCGAAGGAACCGATTATGGGTAAGAGAAAGATACTGGAAACGGTTTTTTAAATAAAGAGGAGTAGAAGGATTAAACAGCACACTATACAACGCGGAGAGAATGTGAGTATTCCTGCGAAGGCGGATCGGGAGCCATTTGAGCTGTTTGCGAAATTCGGAGATATGATCATATTTGCGAAGCCCAAATATAAATCTAATGCATACATTTTGAATGCGCTCAAGCTTATTAAGCTGCTCCTCGGTAATGTCAAGATAGCAAATATCAGCATAGTCAAGGATAGGCAGAAGAAGAGACTGGGCGAGCGTAACTTTAGTTGCTGTGGGAAGGAAATTACGTAATTTACGTAAAGAGCTTAACGTAGCAAACATTTTTCTACTGACCTCATTAACCTGTGAGGTCCAAGACATACAGGAGTCAAGATACAACCCCAGGTTTTTAACCTTGTTACTGTAAGGAATTAGAGTGCAGTCTAGTATAATAGGGGGTAGGGAAGACCAGTCAATTTTACCAATTAATCTAGAACTACCGATGACAATGACCTGAGTTTTCTTAGGATTAATCGTTAAACCATAACATTTACTCCAATTCGAAATACAAGTCAGATCAGCGTTCATAGTGTCAACTGCTTTAGATAGATCTTCAAGAGAGGACTGAGTATAGATTTGGAGATCATTAGCATACAAGTGGTAGGAAGAGGACAAATTATGACTTATAGAGTTAATGAAAATTGCAAAAAGGAGAGGAGACAACACGCCACCTTGTGGTACACCAGCAGCTGTAGTAATCCAGGTGGAAAAAACCTCTTGCACCTGAATTCGCTGTCGGCGACCAAACAAGTAACTTCGAAACCAGTCAACTACAGTTGGAGATATGTTGAGAGAGCGTAGGATGCTTAACAAGATATCAAAATCTACAGTATTAAATGCGTTACTAAAATCAAGCAACGTGAGAATAGTAAGTTTTTGTTTCTCCATACCATACCGAATATCATCAGTGATTTGTAAAAGTGCAGTAGTCGTACTATGGCCAGGACGGAAACCGGATTGCAAGGGATTTAAAAGATTGTGTTTTAAAAGATAGGTGCTTAATTGATTGTGCACAAGACGTTCTAGAACTTTGGAAAAGAAAGGCAAAATAGAGATAGGTCTATAATCGGAAAAACTAGAGGGATTTGACTTTTTCGGAAGAGGAACTACAAATGCGTCTTTCCAAGCTGAAGGGAAAAAAGCAGAATTCAGTGATTTATTCAGGATAGACGTGATTATAGGTAAAAGGAGATCAATGAGAGGGATGACCATTTTCCGACTAATGCAGTCACTACCAATCGAATTTGAATGGATGGACATTATGGCTCTCTTAACATCACAACTGTTAAATTGGCTAAAATTAAAAGCAGGGGTGTCCGGAGTGGGAGCTTTTGAAAGAGAATCTAAAGTATTATGTTTTGCTTTATCGTTAATGCAAGAAGAAGATGAGAACATTTGATGAACAGATGCATTTTAACCTCTTCCAGAGTACATCATCGATTTTATAGATGAAACGGGGGTTTCAGTTTCCTATATGGAGGACTGTGCATTTACTTTTATTTAATTTATAAGCCACTTTTTGACGAACTTTTATCTTTTGACGACTTTTTAATCAGATCTTCTTGAAGGCGATCAAAGTCCATCAGTGGGTTTGCGAAAATCTTCGTGTCATATGCGAACGTGCTTACATTGCAACTCAATCTTTTAGGGAGATCAAAGGTTAACACTATAAACAATACTGGTGGCAGTACAGAGCCTTGTGGAACACTGTTTTGTATTTCTTTTTCATTTCAAAATGTATCGCCAATCCTTACTCTGAAGATACTTGTCGTAGAAAAGTCTCCTTCCAAGCTAACAGATTTCCTCGAACGCCAACAAATTGCAATTTATATAAAAGTCTGCCTCTTGGTACTTTGTCAGAAGCTTTTTCGTAATCCAGATATATAACATATATTGGTTCACAATGAGTTTGACTGGTGACCCAGGATGTTCAGCAATACAAGTTGCATATCGTTGATCTAATGAGGACAAAAACCATATTGCTGATTGCCGATTGTATGCTGTTTGCTAAGGAACTGCCTCATGTGCTTAAATATTATCTTCTACATGACTTTGCACACACCAATAGTTAAACTTATTGGTCCATAATTTTCAGGAATTAATTTTTTTCGCTTAGGAAATAGGAGTCACTAAAGCTGTTTTCCATAAATCAGGCAATATTCCTTTGTCGTATGACTTTTGCATTACCGATGCTAGGTAACTGTCAATTCCGTAGTTCTTTAAAATATGTACGGGTATTTCATCGGGGCCAGGTGAAGAGTCTATATTTATTTATTTGATAGCAGCTCGTACTTTTCTAAAGCAGGAAATTCCTCTGGTGGTTATCTTTCAAATACGTTAGAATAATGATCTGCAAATACTTCCGCTATTTCTTTAGGATGTTTCACAGATTGGCCATTACTGTTCCGTAAAGTTTCTAGTGTACTAACTTTTGAAGTGATTTGTTGCCTGATGTACAAGTAAAATTTCTTTGGTACTAGTTCTAATAGTTTATTCTCGTAAACTGCTTTACCGTGCGCTCTAGATTAGGCACTATGTTATTTAGCTTCCTGTATTTCTTGTAGATTTTATCTAACCCTGTTACGGTATATCTTTTCTATTATTATAAACTTACAATATGTCACTATTTATCCACGGTTTATTTAATTTATGAAATGTGGATTGTGTGTGTTGTGTGGTGTTGTTTTACAACAGGAACATGTGTATCTATGGCATTAGTTATTGTTCTATGTATTATTTTAAACTGTTCTACTGGACAATATAAACCTTATAATTCATTTTAAATTAGAGTGAACTTCTTCTTTGATTTTGTTGAAATTTTCTTTATTAAAGTTCTTTTTAGGTTTATATTGCCGCCCAATCTGTCGTTGTGTTTGTAACTGTGTAGTAGATACTAAATATGCATGATCGCTTTTTCCAATTGCGGCCTCATAACTAATACTAACTATCAAAGACTTATCATTTGTCAATATTAGGTCTAAAGTAGACCCTGTACAACCCCTGTAACCCTGACAAAACCTCGTATGTTGATCTACCATTTGGTATAGATTGCTGTTGTTACACAATACTAAGCTAACAAACCTTACCAGTATTCTTTGAGAACCTACTTCAATGTCAACCCATTAACATTCCCAAGAATCATACTTAGTAATGATTTCTTATATTTACGCGAACACTATACATGATTAAAACTACTTTTACGGATTTTATCGCGTTTATTTTTACTTTTTATTTACTTTTATTTTTAATTCCCGACGTTTCGGGCACTTTCCAGCACCCATGGTCACGGGGGACCCAACGTCGGGAATTAAAAACAAAAGTAAATAAAAAGTAAAAATAAACGCGATAAAATCCGTAAAAGTAGTTTTAATCATCATACTTAGTGTTATATTGACTATTTCGCTTTGATGTCATATAGGCAATATTGTTCAATACAAAAATAGCGATTCCTCCACTTCGTTTATCAGTACAGCCGTCTCTGTATAAATCGTAACCCGGTATTATTATCAATGAGTCAGGTATATTTGGTTTAGCCATGTTTCTGAGAGGACTATAATTGATGGTTTTAGTTGATCAACTCTTGCAATTAATAAATCCAGCTTGGATGTTATCGATTGTATATTTGTGTAAAAAATTGTTAATGTTATGAGTGTAGAAGATATCGAAGATCACCTTTTTTTTTTGGTAAAAAGATTTACAAGTGAAGGTCGGTAAATTTTAATTTGTTTTATCTCCTATTTACAGACAATTTTTGATTTCAATTCGAGTGTGGGGATCGAAACTGCGTAACACAGGGTATCCTAGTAGTATAGGTTCCGCTCTCTCACAATGATCAATGTTGCAATAATTATATCATAGAAATAAGACAATAAACTAAGCATGTTTTTATTTGAACATAAATGATTAGATTATTATTAAGCCTCGTTCTCCATTCTAAGTACGCTTCTCTAATTCATCACGAAGGTATTTCAGGTACTCCTGTTGCATGGCAGTTTGGTCTGATTTAATAATTGATGGTTTATCCAGTTTGGTTTTATTATGAAGTACCTCAATAACATAATTATTAGACTTTATTACCACTTTAATGAGGCGAGGAGGATCCCCAGCTTGAGGCTTACGTGCACCAAGACAATATTTTGCGTATTGCACCAAGACGGAGTACTGTTTGTATCTGGCTGGTTTTAATGTCATATTAATATACCCTATAAAATAACCTATAAAACTTAAAAATGTATCGTATTTCTTCATTATATTCACACATTTTGGCGGACAGAAAAAACAACTGAAAAATGACGGGAAAGTATTTTTTGTTTTTTCTTTTTCTTAATTTCCTATATGTATTGATATTAAAACCGGTCTGATAAACAGTACAACTAAAGAGATTTTTCTAAGATTATTGATAGGTCTTTTTATACCTTCTTAAACGTATCAATAATCCAAGCGATTTTTCTTCAATATATATTCAATTTCTCAAATCGAATCGAATCGAATCGAATTTATCAAAATTCAATATATATAAAACAAAATACGAAGAAACTTTTTCCCTTGACAGAGCAGGGTTGAAGAAAAATAGAAACAGGATCATTATCATCGTTAAAAATGTTCCCACGGGCTTTCTCGCCGTACGCCTTCAACGTTGTTGTCTTTGTTCCGAGACGCCAAGTGTTACATCATCACAAGTCGATGATTAACCGTCACCTGTTTGTTGTTCAGTGTGTACTTTTCTCATAGGTAAAAGTGATAATTTTAAAATCGGCCTCTGCATAACTGCATTCTTAGTTTTGATGGACACTACGCGTACGTATCTATTATTGCCAGGGTGAACGCCGACGACTTTACCCGTTGACCCATTGTCAGGGGGCAAGTTTTCGTCTTCGATTAGGGCAATCTTGATGCTTTTTGATGGTGTTCTCCACTTTGTGCGAGCTTACAACTGTTGTAAGTAGTCCGATGACCACCTATCAACTGTTTATCATGATGCATGGCCTGCATCATCTGCCATCTAGTTGTAAAGTTCATGTGACCCGGTTTGAGGCTTCCATATTAGTGACCCTCTAACCAGGAACTGTCCAAGTACTACGTATTCATCATCTACGCTTGCGGTCAGGGCAATCGGAGGTCATGAGTTGAAGCACGCCTTTATCTGGTGAAATAGTGTCATAAACTCTTCACACGTGAGTTTTTGCTCACCTACCACCCGACGTTGATGGTGTTTTAAAATTTTTACGGTAGCCTCCCATAGCCCGCCTGCTGAGAGGTAGGCTTTTTTTTAAATAGAATAAGGGTGACCAACGTACACATGGTCCACCTAATGGTGAGTGGATGCCGTGGCCCATAGACATCTACATTTAAACTCGATTAAGAATCAACATGCAGATGCGTCGTCACCCTTGATGCCTAAGACGGAATGCCTCGTTCCCAGTAAAAAAGAGTCTCCGGAGCTCTACACTCATCTTACGAAACCCAGCAGTATTAAGCTTCTATTTTACACCGGTATTCCGTGAGAGCATGGTATTTCCCCGTTTGAGCTGAGTCATTTGTGCTACAACCACAATATAGCTGCAGCGCCGTTCTACCACGCATAAAATAATTAATAGGCTAGCGCATTAAAGTGCCGTTGAATGTGATAGTCATCGATCTTACTAAGGAGCTCTTCATTGATGGTTACAAGGATATCTTTGTATTCTTTCTTCAAGCCTTTGGATGCTCCAATAAAGTTACGTCCTTGATCGCTGTGTATATGTTTGGGGCTAGATGTTCTGGCGCAAAAGTTCGAAATGTTGCCAGAAACCCAGGTGTACTGTTCTGTTATTCGGATGAAAATAACTACATTTAATCACCTGTAACCTAGTACCTAGTAGTCGAGTCTAGTCTAGTCATTAGGATTATCAAATAAAAACGAACATGATACTTTTAGAGTTGTAAATATCAATCACATATTTGAAGAAATTCTAACTCACCTCCCTCCGACAAGGGCTCGTCTTTAATAGGCAGCAGAGGCACGAAGTCCGAGTCCTCTTCACTGGTGCCAAGTAATTGCATCTGTCTGTCTAGAAGCGTCGTTCCCTGTGTATTTTTTTTCAAGTTAAGTAATAAAAAGTGAAAAATTCCTTTTAGTGAAAATCATGTTCATATTTTTATTCATATTTTTACCAAATAAACCTTTTTTTACACATCATAAGATACAAACACTTTGAGTATTAAACCAATTTAGGTCACTAGCACGCATACTAGCATTTGAACTTGGTTATCTAGTCCCTATTATTACATCACAATTTCTGCTCGGCCTGTGCGGGTGTGCACAGTAAATATGCCATGCAGTTGTATTTTCATTTATAACAGTTACTGTTTTCTGCGATCTGCGATCCAACACAACCAATAGAGATCAGACGCAAGATCAACGGTTTTTCGTGCTTTCCTAGGCACGTAAAACGTAGTAACGTGGATGTGTTTGTGCATCTTAATAGCGTGTTACTACGATATATTGATGCTACTTTTATTAAAAAGTTTTGTTTACTAAAATCGATAGGAATCAAATGGGTGTATTATGAGGATATGTCATTCGTATGACAGTTGCATCGACTCACATAAATAATGACAGAGTTTTCTTAGTCATATTAAAGAGAATCAGTGTTAGGTTGTCCAAAACAACGTTCGCGGTTTACAAAACAAAGAACTAGTCTTCTTGCCCGCTCGCAATCGGTACTAAAGGAGTTAGGGAGCATTGACTGCAACTTAGTGCGCAATGTATTAAGATCGTAGAGCCTGTCTACTAGTATGAGGCCCGGTTTACATTTTGAGAAATGACAAGTGCGAATGGCAAGTGCAACTGACAAATAACAAGTGCTTAGTGCGAATTTTATTCACACTTATCACTTGTCATTGTCTGTTCACACGTACTAAGCACTTGTCATTTGTCAGTTGCACATGCCATTCGTACTTGTCACTTCTCAAAATGTAAACCGGGCCTAAATATGTCTTTGAATAAGAAAACACTGACCGGTGTATTACGAGCGGGCTCGAGGGTTTCCAGTGTTTCCGGGGAGGTGCGAGGTAGGGGGGGCAGGTCGCGCGCACACTGGCGTGGCGGCGGGCGCGGCCGGAGCTGGTGTCAACTCCAGCTCATCTGACACCTGCACGTGATAGAATATAACAGCCAATAAAAATAAAAATTGTGGGTAGGTAATTCAAAAAACTAGTGTGAAAGGTAGTCGGTACTTCTTATAGAATAGGGGGACAAACGAGCACACAGTCCACCTGATGGTAAGTGGATGCTATGGGCCATTGACATCTACATCTATCCTCGATAAAGATTAAAATCCAAACGTGATGTGAACCCCTGAGGACTAAGATGGAATAATAAATATAATATAATATTAATCCGGTTCTCTACACTCACTATACGAAACACAGCTGCATTGAACTGGTATTTTACGCTTGTATTATTCGTGAGCCTGGTCCTTTAAGATAATCAATTGAATTGAAATGATACCAACCCAAGAACCATCTTTTTTATCTTCAAGTTTTTAGATAAAATTAATATTGCTTAGATCCACCATGGCATTTTTCGTAAAATTTCATCACAATCGGTGCAGTCATTCAGCAAATTAGCCCGGATACACATATAATTTCTGAGAATTTTTTTATAATAGTTATTTAATATTCATGTCTTAATGGCATGCAAATAACGCCCTCAGCTCAATAAAAGGCTTTTATTACGATATTATATTTATAAAACTTTATAGTGAAAGCTATACCTGCAGGTGATGTAAAATATGTGATGATACATTTTCCTTAACCTCGTCGATAGCTTCCACTTTAACCGCAAGTAGGTTTGGTGAGGAGAGCTGAAAAAATATTATAAAAATTCTGAAAACAAATACAACAATTCATTAAATTATTTATAGAGCTATATCACTGTATTTTTATCCAATTTTTTAATTAATAGAATCGAGCGTCACTCTCAGATACATTAAAGATGTCAATAATCAATTTACTGTTATCCGCGTAACAAAATAAAATGATGTGTCTACCTAAAACAGAAACATTAGTAAATGCTATTAAAATACAAAGTATGAAATTGATTTTTTTTTCGTATTTAATTTGTTTTTAAGTAATTTTTACATAATATTGCGTTCTTTCATACTATACTGTCAAAAGTTTTGCCAACTTTTGAATTTGAGTTTAAATTTAGGTTTTGTTTAAATTTTTGCCTTGACTACCTTGTTTATCGTATATTACTGCAAATAAACTGAGAACGCTAGTTCTAAACGCCAATCAAGTTGCTAGGTCTCTAGGATGTGACCCATACATTACGAGTATCAAAATCTGTAGTAATTTTTTGGGAGATAGATTTATGTTTTTGTGCTTGATAATACACGCCCCCATACTGCCGCCGTAAATGTCAAATGCCCCTAGAGATAATGGGGTGGCCAGCGATTTAAACACCACAGGGCGTGTGCGTGCTGAGCAGATTTTTTTTAATTTGTCTTACAATAAATTACGAATAGAAATTCTGGCTCTGCTAATTTTAGAGATCTTAGAGGCGCAACAGAACGCAATCTTTTCAAGATTTTATTGATAACTTGATTAATAACATAACAAGGAGACTGGAAGCAGTTCGAAGAGCTAGAGGGGGCAACACGAAGTGCTGATTATAGCGCACGTTATAGACTTTCCTAAGCATTTATGAAATAATTTAATAAAATGTTAAGTACAGAAACGTTTCATTCCTGTAATTTGTTTCTTTTTGTAACTCCGACGAAAAAGGGGGATATTATAAGTTTGACTGCTATGTATGAGTCTGTCTGTCTGTGGCACAGTAGGTCTAAAACGGGTGAACCGATTTGGGTGCGGTGTTTTATTTATTCAAATGCGGGACTTTTCGCGGTGGTTTCTTCATGTTTTATTAAAATCGGTTCAGACATTTGAAGATCATCAGCGTTTTTTTTTTGTTTCGGGGTTTTTTTTAATTTTCAATTTAAGTTATTTCGTAATTTGTTTAATTTTTGTCATTTGATCGCAATTTTTTTGCAATTTTACATTAAGTAATAATATATAAAGGAGCACGTATTCGTTTTCACTTAACTAGACTAGAGAAGCAAAAAAATATTACATGCTGTAAACTCAACGTTATATCGCAAAAAACAGACCTATTTTAATCAGTATATAAAACGCAGCATAACTAATTCTAAAGCTTTTTGGAACCATCTTAAACGGGTAATAACCTATCAGAGAAAATCTAGGGACTATGTAATTCTTGATCATCTAAACGATCCAGTTTTGATTAATTCTCACTTTTACTCTATACCAGTAAATAATTCAGTTCCCGTTTCAGAATATATTTTCTTTAACTCCCATCAGTTTTGCTCATCAACATTTAAGTTAAGTGTTACACACGAAAACACAAAATCCAAATTAATTAAATCACTTAATTCAAACGCTTTGAGCGCTGACAGCATATACTTGGTCTGTTAACACTTACACGCTAAAAGTAATCACCGTGATAGTAAACAGATCGATAATCACTACTTATTTCCCTGACGTCTAAAAAACCGCTTTGGTTATACTAATTCCAAAAACCAATAAGCATTATAAATTTCAACACCCTACCCAGTTTGTCGAAAATTTGAGAAAGAAGTAGTATGTACACAACTTGAAGCGTACTTGGAGAATAATCAGATACTACCGAAACTGCAGTCTCGTTTTAGAAAGCACCATAGCACGACGATTGCATTATTAGACGTAGTTAATAATATTTTGGCATCTCAAGATAAGGGTGAAGGAACAATTATAGCACTACTTGATTTCTCACGGGCTTTTGACTGTCTTAACTTTACATCAAATTATAGTTGTCCAAGCATTCTAATTATGGATTCGATCAGACCGCAATCAAAGGGTTCTCTAGTTATCTAAACTATCGCATGCAGTTAGTTAAAATAATTAAAAAAGATGGTACACATTCTCTGTCGAATCCTTGTCCTATTACGAAAGGAGTCTCCCAAGGATTCCACAGTGGACCCTCCTTTATTTATACTGTATATTGCAGATATTAATACAGCCATTCAGAACTGTAAATATCATATGTATGCAGACGATTTGCAGGTTTATGTGTCTTTTGTTCCAAGTCAAACTAATTTGGCAGTTAATAAGTTAAATAGAGATCTAACAAAATTGCTCAGTGATCAGATGCTAACACTGTTGTACTGAATCCAGTAAAATCAAAATACATAGTATTTGGATCAAAGCGACAGATAAATCGAATAGTTACATATAATCCTGATTTGTGTGTCCTCGCGGAGAAGGTAAATTGTGTGAATGAAGCCAAGAATTTGAGGTTGCAGATGGATGTCGCGCTTCATTTTGAGAGACATGAACCCATGAGCGCACGTAACGTACGTATTGTACCGAATACGTGACTTTTTGAGTGAAGATCTGCGCGTTTAGCTCTGCAACTCCCTCATACTCTCCAGGTTAAACTATGCCGATAAGGTATACGGACCAAGGCTACTTTCGAAAACTGACCGAATAATTGAGTAGATCCAAAATGCTTGTACCAGATGTATACACTGTATTTCATATGAAGTCACGTCAGTCACAATTTAAAAAAATCAAAGTTACTAATGGTTGAATAATGTTCGTTGTCTTTCAAAACAAAAAGCCCGGGTATCTGTTAGAAAAACTAAAAAGACACAAAGAATCTAATTTTTAGGACATTCGAATAAAATCAAATGTCCTTTCGATACCAAAACACACAACGGCAGCATTTCGCGGTAGTTTCCGACATGCAGCTACTAAATACTGGAAGAACTTGCCCCCACCTATCCATCAACTAAATAGCATCAGCCTTTTTTAAGGTAAAAGTAAAAGAACACTTCTGTCGGATTAACTTTTAGGGAGAATAAATAGTTGCATTATATTTTTTATTCATAGCAATAGCATAATATAAATATCTTTATTGTTTTATTGTACATACTCATTATATTATTCATTATATACACTTATATATAATGCATAACTAAAGTTCCCATCCTTTTGCATTT